CTGAACTATTTGCATTTTGGAATCAGAGAGCTTATTTACAACTTCTCCCTTAAACTTTTCCTTCCAAAGTCATTTGCACAGTTTTGCAATCATGGCAATGCTTAACTGTGGGGCTCTTCCACTTGGATAAGCGATCTTTAAAAGCAATGAACTTAGACAAGGAAGAAAGCTGCTGAACTGAGGAAACAGGTGACACCCTTCCCTTCCACCTCCATATCTAAGAGGCAGTGAGCACAGTGTTGAGCACAGGTGAGCAACGCGATGTCATTTTCAGCAAAGTGGAAGGTCATGATCATTTAGAGTCCCTAAATTCTGTACCAGAGTCTCTAGTCTCCCCAAGTACCAACAGAGGAGGAACAACACAGAATTGGGTATGGCTCCTTCAATCCAGAAAAACTTGCAGTTCCCACGAGTGGCACTGATGCTAGTCCCAAAGGATGCTGTTGTGGTCAGTATTTGGTGGTTTCAGTGGTGGGGCAACACATCCCCTTGCGCCCCATGCCCTGCATGCCGGAGGATGGGCAGAGGACAGCTGATGCACGGATCAGCTCCAATTTTCCTGCCTGCTTTTGGGAAAGGAAAATAATGCCTGAATGTAAAATAAATGCTCTGTACCAGGTATGTTCAGCCAGTTAATGCATTTGTGACACTGTTCAAGTGATCTTGGTTTGCCATGTCAGAAATAAATAGTGAATCATGGCATACAGGATAATTTCCACTTTTACGTCTACAATTTATTCATCCACAATTCACCCTGCAATTAACACATTTTTCTAACCTGCCACATGATCTAGCTGTGTTAGTTGTGCAGCAGTTGAACATCTCATCCTAGAAGCATCTGTTTAAAAATGGTTGAGAAAACACACTATTGTCATGGCCTTTTGAAGTTTGTACAGTCATCTGATACCACATCCTTTGCAAGCTTTGTGTGATGCATTAGAAGTATACGTAGGTATATGTCTGTCCATATGCATCTAGCTCTTTTCAATCTTGTTAAAATTCTGTAAAATGGATATTTCTTTCATCAATTATTGATGTTACAGCTTATCTTTTCTCAGTGAAAACAATTATGATAGTATATCAATAATGCTTTGCCAAGCTTCCTGCAAATGGAAAAAGAATATAAAAAGCTATGAATGACATACAGGCAAGGAGGAAAAATAGTCCTAAGGTATCCAACAAATCCCGCTGTTGTAGGCAACAGTACATTATGCTGATGAGTGCCTATAAATAAAAATAAACAACGTGAACCAAAATAATGGAGTGGAGAAGCCTCAGCGGTGATTAAGAAGAATTTATTTTCTCCATGGCAGAAACCCACTGGGTACAAAAGTACAAGCTGGAGGTTTGTAGAAATGAGTTCATGCTGTTGAGCAGTATCTGTAAGCAGGGAATACACACAGCTGTAAAATACAGCCACAGATATCACCACTACTTATGGTGGTCTCTGAAAAAAACTCATTCCTGTTTCTTTGGGTTTTTTAATAAAGACTACAAATTATGATCAGGATTTGTAACAGCATTGTGTAAAATATCTCCACAATGTGCATTTTCCTTATGAAGCTTAAAACTAAATTGCTCATCCAGGCCCCCACAGTGTCACATGTCATCTCCTTTCCCATCTTCTCCCAGGCTTTAACTGCCCTTCAGCTTACTAAAAATGCCCCAGCAGAGACCATTTTGCTGGGCTACACCCTGAGAGCATTGCCTTCCCCTTGCAGGTCTCTACTCCCTTTCCATCCACCACCACAGATTTCAGCTGCTCTTTCACTCAAGGCTTCCTGCTGCTGCCACCTGCATACACGCAGACATTAGCCTGTCCACGGGTACTTTGTCCTTCTGTACGGAGCCCTGGATTTTTGTAAATCAGGTGTCAGCTGAAAGCTTGTGTTCTGGAAGGTACATCTATGTGTTCAGGCTTCTCCTGCCCAAGGAAAGTATTCATTTGATTCCACTTATTCCATCACACTGCACAGCCTGCTTCACCTTATCTGCCAACCTTTCATGCCACCCTAACGTAGCTCTGCCTCTGATCTGCCAATAACGCTGCCACTCCTCACTGCTCGTCACTGCATCTATAAATCAAACCGGAAAGGTGGTCAACAAAGTTGCAACATTTGTGTAAATGCTTTGTCTGAACATACCATTATGTCCTGTGAGGCTGTATGACAGCATGTATTTTCTCAAGCTATCAAATGAGACAAATTTGGAAACGTACTTTTGAAATGGATCTCTTTGTTAATAGGGCAACAGACTTGCATGTCAAATACAAGGAAGGAGCAGATGGATAGAAGAGGTCTGCAGAAACTGAAATCAGGCTTCTGGTCTGCAGATATTCCTGAGACCGATTCCTGCAAATTGTATAGATTCCTTCAGAGGTTTTGGATAAATCACCTAAGCTCTCAACAAAGTTAGAGCAATATATGCTAATGCTTTGTGGCAATCTTAAGGTGCTGTTGTGAGGTATGAATACTTAATGTATGCAATATGCTAAAAAGTATTTGCACATAAGCATGACTTCTGAATGATTTAAGCAATGATTTAAATGACTTTGACAAATGTACACAAGCTCTCTCAATGAATAAAGAAGCAAATGAACAATGGCAGGGTATTCTGTGCAAGTTGACTCACGTTTGCCTGAATATACAGCTAAGGCAAAACCCTCCACGGATGAACGTGAGTTGCAGGGATTTGGACTCACTGATCCTTATGAGTCTCTTCCAACTTGAGATATTCTATGATTCTATGAGTGCAGATCAGTGGCTCCAGGGAAACTGTTACTCCAGGTACAGATACAGATTAAGAAAAGCAGCTGAACTGATTACAGTCATGGCTACATATGACGAACAGGGCCAATTTCTCTGTAAAGTAAAACTTTAGTTTTACTCCTTACGAGCTTTAGAACATAATTTTATCACCTGGATCAGAAATGTCACTGTATGTGCACTGGAAATTCTCCCCAAAACGTTAACGCCAGGCTTTGCTTGAACCTTGTTATAAATCAGAGAGATGACATTGTGTATTCAGCCACTTTCCCCTCACTCCTTGCCACCCTGCTTTAAGCTCAAGATTTCCCTTGTCTCCCTTGGCCTCCGTACTTCTTGTAGTCTTCCCTCTGCCTGACAGTGGCTCCACCTGAAGCCATTCACTCCCATTTCCCTGCTGTGGTCTCCACTGCCGGTGCTCCCATCTCCTCCCTGACATGAGCCAGGGTTGGTTGTTTCCATGGAGTGTTTCCCAGTGAGCTCATCAAAGCAGATGGAAACAGCTGAGTACCAAATCATTAATTAAGTCTCTGCTGAATCAGCACGGATCCAAATATGCAAAACTGATGCTCTTATTTCAGAACCAATTTTAATCAAACCCCATCCCTCTCACCTCTGAAAAACTACAGCTCCTGCACCAGGGTGAAGTGATTGAATCTCACAGATCTCCATTTGGAGGCTGAGAAGCCTGAAATGCTGTGAGATGTTTTATACATAGAAAAACAGATTCACTTCTGAAGGTTCCCCATTTCTGAGCTATACATGTTACAGTACAAAGAAAAAATCCAAACACTCTAGCATCACTCAAAAACGAGACAGAAAGAGGAGAATTAAGATAAGTCTCACAAAGAACCTCTGGTCCTTGCTCTTGGAAGAACATCACATCTCCAGTAGGTTTAACTTGGATTGTACATTGTAGATACGAACCTTCGACGCCCTTTTTAGACCTGGAAAGTCCTGAATCTGCTTCTTAATTCTAGACAAGATACTGGCTTGTTTACATGTTAAATATTATATTTTTAAAGAAATGCAAGCCAAGAGCTGTTATTGAATACCTTTCTCCAGTCAAGATTCTTGGAAAACTTCAGCTATAATGCCAGTTCGGAAACAATTTACTAGGGTCAGAAAACTACCATAATGTTTGATTTACTATTAGGTAGTGTCTAAATTATTTCAGCTTCATTTAGTTCTCTGTTTAATATTCCATAAATTTTAAGGGGTACTGTACAATGAAATCTCTTTTTCCTTATAAGTCTCTCACTCTGCTACACAAAAAGAAAGAGAAGAAGCATTTTGCTCAAACTCCATAGGTATATTTAGGAGTTCATCAATCCCAAATTTTTAAATACCATGTAAACACTTTCCATCATATGAAGCAATATAAATGCAAATAGCAGGTTTAAATAACAGCATGAAAAGCTGTCTCTGTAGTTAGTCTTGCATTATTTTACATTGAAATTACTATTCAAGTACATTATCCCACAAAATAGATCTCCCCTTAAAATTACAGTAAAATGGAAATATTATTTTTGTTGGAAATTGTAATCTCAATGCCAGCTACCTGATTCTCACCTGATCTGCTCTGGTGCAAGCATCTATGGTTATGCAAGGGGCAAACTACCTGGTAGCAGTTTTCATCTTCTTATGTATAAACGGCTTTCCAACACGTAGAACAGTACGTGATCAGGCTCTAAGTGTTATCTGTTCTTAAAGCAAAATTCATTGACCATGTTATGCTTTGGGTATTTTTAAAATAATTTAAAACTGCAAGCACAATAAAAATGATAGTGTTGAGTGCCCTCCTTGAGTCTAAA